GAAGTGTGTGTGTGTGTGTGTGTGTGTGTGTGTATGTATGTATGTATGTATGTACATAAAGCAAGGTATGGTGACATAGGCCTTTAACCCCAGCATTACGAAGGCAAAAAGCAATCAGGTTTCTATGAGTTCCAATTCAGCTAGGGCTACATAAGGAGACCCTGTCTCAAAAACAAACAAATACACCAGCAAACGTTTAAAAAAAAAAGCAGGTAAATAACTACTAACCACACACACCTTTTGACCAGTTGAGGGAAAGAAAAATCTGGAGACCCTGTCTCATTTCCTACATCAAAACATTCTACTCTGTGAGGCATGGTGGTGGACATTTGAAATCCTACCACCAAAGAGGCTGAGATAGGAAGGTTTTGAGTTTAAGGTCAGCTTGGGCTATATAATAAAACCCCGTTAAAAAGAAAGACAGAAAGAAAGGAAAAAAAGGAAGAAAGAAAGGAAGGAAGGAGGGAAGGAAGGAAGAACACCGTTAAATGCAAAATGTAAACAAATACCAGGAAGAAAACAAAAACCAGAATCCAAAAGTAACTGTTGATCTTCGGCTAGGGAATATATTCTTAGCAAATAGGTAAAGGAAAAAAATAATAAATTTGATTAATAATTCACCCTAAATAAGAGTAAGAAGAAATTGCTCAACCATATTCAACAAAATAAGTAGTCATTAAAAGAAAGTTAATTTTCCAGGAAAAAAAAAAAAAATGGGAAAACTCACAAAAGGGCAAGAATTCTTGGCTACTAAACACATTAAAAAAAAAAAAAAAACCTTAAAATTCACAAAATAATGAAATTCCACTCAAAATTAAAAGTTGCCAAAAGATTAACTATAATAAGAGAGGTTGAAGAAATAGAGTGAGCCGTTAAATTGTTAGTGACTTAAGCTTCTCTTGTCTGAAAAAAAAGTGGCACATTTTTTGCTCACTTAAAAAACAAGCAAACATACAAAAATGCCTACCTCTTTTTATACCAGAAAAAAGTTGTGGCAGACATAAAGATATGATTTTAGGGAATTATGGCATACACACATGAAGTATGACACAAACATTAAAATGCTACAGAGTAACACTGACAAGGAAAAGCATGTGCAGCATTTAAATAATAAAGGATGTTCAGGGACCAGGAGTGAATCCCAGCACTAGGGAGGCAGAGGCAGGTGGATCTCTATGAGTTTGAGGCCAGTCTGGTCTACAGATTGAGTTCCAGGACAGCCAGGACTGTTATACAGAGAAACCCTGTCTAAAAAAAAAAAAAAAAAAAAAAAAAAAAAAAAAAAAAGATGAGGGATGAGGAGAAGGAAGAGGAGGAGGAGAATATAGAATATACAGGGAGGGGCTGGCCTGATGACTCAGCAGGTAAAGTTGATTGCCTCCAAGTCTAAAAACCTGAATTTGTCCTTCAGGACCCTCAATGTGAAAGGAAAGAACTGACTCCTACAAGCTAGCTATCCTCAGACTTTCACATTCATGTGCACACACATGCAATATATGTTAGTACATGTGTGGGGAAACAAAAGAATGCTAGATGCCAAATGTAAACATTATTAGCATACTGTGAGCTACGGAAAGGAAACCCTTACTGTATTGCCAGGGATAAGAACCCACGCAGGGGCTTCATCAAATGATTAAAGTAGAGCTGTATGATCCTACCCACAATCCTGTTAGTGAGTTCCCCCCAGAAAAGTTATTTCAGTGAGTCAGAAACAGCTGCAACCCCATGTTCACTCGGTGTTCCTCAGAAAAGCCAGAAAGCAGAAACAAACCACATGCCCATCAACTGATGAGTGAATACAAAAAACTCGGCTCATCCATACAAATTAATGCTATTCAGTCCCATTTCAGAATGAGATCCTGTCATTTGTGACCACACAGACGAAAGTAGTGATCATCAAGGAATAAGCCAGGTGTTGAAAGACAGGATGGTTTCACCATGTAGATGGAACATGAAAAAGACCTCACAGATGTTTGAAAACAGAATGATGGTTACCAGTGCTTGGACAACAAGGAAGGGGGTGTGAAACCTGGTAGGTAAATGATAACTAAGTCATTGTAGACATGAGTAAGAAGTTCTGGTGAGTGTCGCAGGAGACTTTGGATGGGTGTGGACTAGAGAGATAGTTTATTAAAAAAAAAAAAAAAAAAAAAAAAAAAAGGAAAAAAAGAGTCGCCCTGCAAGCCTGCTGACCTGAATTTGATTTCTGAAACCCATTTAACAAGCCAGAGGCAGCAGGGCACATCTTTAGTCCAGCACTCCTACAGTAATGCCGGTGGAAAGAGTCTCCCAGAAGCTAGGTCCAGCTAGTCTAGAGTACTCACCAGGGCAGAAACAACAGAGACCCCTGCCTCAGCAGGTGGGGAGAGAACTGTCTCCCCAAACCCAAAGCTGTCTTCTCATCTCCACATGTGCATCTTGGCACCGCCCAAACATGTATCATAAACATTTTAAGTGATCCTCACACTAATCTAGTGAACACATATACAAACACATCACATAACACTCCATAGATATCTGCAATCTATGTATCAAGTTAAAAACAAAGTTTAAAAACTATTGGCACTAGGCGGTGGAATTACAAGTGAATTTGCCTTTTTTTTTTTTTTTTTTTTTTTTTTTTGCCAAATTTCTACAAGAGAAAAATAGGTTGCAAAGCAGAATCCTGTCCCTCTCTAATTAGTATATACATATACGTAAAGATATATAAAGAAGGCCACTACTTTAAAGAGACTACTTAGGTTCACCCACCACTGAAAGGATATGGAGTATTTTCAGCTTAAAAAGTGAAACAATTATTTCTTTGTATGTGCTATAATAGGAAGCCAGTGGGTTGATTAGCAAAGTACTAATTTTGAATTCTCCCCTGCCAAACAAAACAAATTAACAGCACTTTTCTATAATACCAATGGTTTGAAAGAATTCTCATTGAGCCAAATAATTAGTAATAAAGGTGATAATACAGCAATATAAGCATTTGAAAGGTATGACTATTTTTTTGTTTTTGTTTTTGTTTTTTTTTTTTTGTTTTGTTTTGTTTTGTTTTGAGGCATGGCTCTGCTGAGTTCTGTGCACTGACAGCAAAGGACGGGTTTGTCTGGAATGAAGCTAGATCTGGGGAGCCAAGTCTGCCAGAACTGAAGAAGGAAGAAAGATGGCCATCAAGATGGCAATCCTATTGGTAAGAAATGCAGTGCCTAACACATGCTCTCCCTGTGTGTGAGCAAGTTGCCAAGTGGACCATTATCACAGGAAGGATGAAAACAGTGGAATCACAGGGCATCCCTCCTACAAGCAGTATAAAGCACAACCCTTGACTACATCAGAGGCACCTGGTATCTCTCACTGTAGAGGCCACTACTGCGAGCTCAAAGGTCCTTGCTCTCACAAACTAAGGAAACAGGAATGTCAAACCACAAGATGGTCTTTTCAATGGAAGAGATGTATAACTTGGTTTTCCACCCACAATGCTGGGGATGGAAGTGGTTAATAACCTGGTGATTTATGGTATCTGTAGGGCCAGGCCATACCAAGATCCCACAGCAGGATAGGAGGTTGCCAATACTCTAGGTGTTCTTTGCATTATCTTTATGTTCAGGAGTTCCCCCAAGCTCCCCTAACCAGGACAAGAATTGGCTAACAGCTCAGATGACCTGTACACTATCTGTAGGACTGAGACTACACCAGATCCTCCCCTAGGTTCTTAAGATAACGCATGTAGCCTATCTCTTCCATCTTCATGGAAGAAGTGACATGTACTATGAGAAGAGTTTCTTTGATGTAATTATGCCTCCTATGCACAGGGGATTGTGTTACAATGGGAAACTTTTTTTTCAAAACTGCACTGTACTTAATTATGCCTATAATAAACTACTCAGGGTCAGGGTAGTCTGAACCAACACTGGCTAACTAAGTCATGTGAACCTGATTTCCTCCTTGCCTCACTCAGATTGGCACTCGGCTGGCCCTGGTGATCACAGAGAACCCTACAGGTCACAAGTGAAATGACATCAGAGAAAGGGCAGTTCTAGAATCATAAGGAGCTCCTGACAAGTTCTACTGTTCGGGGAGAGGTCAAGGTGTTGACAGACCATTCAGATTAATACCTCCAGGAAGTTTTACCTGTTCCTTGCTTAGTTCTGAGGTAAGGAGCTAGAAGTTAGTGAACAAAGGAGTGACATGTTTAGAAGGGTGACTGTTGGTGATAGACTAAAGGAGCCGTGTGCAGTTAACCCTAGCCAGAGCCAACAACAGCACTTAGTCCCTTAGATTCACACAGTTTCATAGCCCTCAGCACCCTGTCTGTCTTGAAGACCAGGGACCTCTCATGTCTGGAATCCTTTTAAACTTGGGAAATGCAGTGTTCATACTTAAATCTACTGCCACAACCACTAGGACACTTTTACAAGTACTTAATATATCCTTGCAATTTCTTTTGTGTGCCTGAAGTTGCTCATGTCACAGTGCATGCGAGGTCAGAGGACAACTTGAGGACATTGGTTTTCTCCTTCACCATGCCCCCATGTGTGGGTGACAACTTGAGGATTCTCTCCTTCCACCTTGTAAGCTAAGGGGATTGAACTCAGGTCATTGGGCTAGGTGGGGAGTGCCTTTACCTACAGAAGTACCTTCGTATTTAGGTTTTTAAAAGTGAAGTTACTTTTAAAAACTTAAACAAATCCTACCTAGATGGTTTGATCTGGCCTGACCTAAAACTGATTACATTTAAAATGGTAGTTTGTGCTATTATACATAAAGATGACAGCTTATTTAAAACACATACACACATATGTACATACATATATATATAGAGAGAGAGAGAGAGAGGGGGGAGTCATTTTTTTATACTATTGTGTATATCCTCCACTCTGAGAGACATTGTTCTATATTAAAAAAGAATCCAGCATGACAGGAGTGCCAAGAATGAGATGTCACCCTGAGCCCTAGCTCTCACTGTGGCTGTGGAACTAATAACAGAATCATGGCTCTGTAGGGATCACCTGAAGCAATGTAGCCGGAGTCCTTGGGCAAAGCGGCCAGCTTGGTATTCTTTTCCATCCATTGTTGATGGGACTGTCTCCGTGTCCTGCACTATGACAGCCATTTCACTGTCTCGCTTCCCCAGCATGCTCCGGTCATTGATGTTGGCAGAACCTAAAAGGAGAAACAACAGAAATGGACAACTTCTCATGACAGCCACTGCCAATGGCCAGCCCTATCCATGCTTCTTGGCTCACAACACCCCAGTTTTGTTAAAGTGATCTAGGGAAGATGTAGTTTACGGAGGTAGGGACCTCTATAGCATTAGCCCATGTGACCCTTGATCATTCTAAAGCAGTCTAGATTCTCAATGTCATCATCTTTATTAGTGATTAGCTCAGGAGATGGCATGTGGCATGGTTCCAGACCATAGAACATGAAGGAAAGCTTCCAAGGAGCTTCTGAGAAAGCAGAACTTTATACTATCTTTCCTATCCTTTGGATATTGACCTCAGAAGATCCATCATAAGGGGCTAATCCAACAAGCTGAGGCTGAAGGATGGGCTAACCCAAGAAGCCAAGGCTGAAGGACAGAGAGAGAATGCTCATAAGATGGAGAGATGGCTCAATAGCCACAAGTGCTTCCTGCTCTTCCAGAGGACCCAAGTTCATTCCCAGCACCCATGTCCAGTGGCTCACAACATCCCATAACTCTAGAGCCAGATGATCTGATGCCTTCTTCTGGCCTCCATGGACACCCTCTCATATGGAAATACACACAATACAGATAAATGAAAATAATTGATAAAAAAAAAAAGAAACCCTACAAAATGCTGTGGAATATTACTTTAACTATGCAAAAGTGTGTTGCATTTGTTTAACTAGGAAAAGATGTATTACATTTGTTTATGCTGCATTATGTAAAGATGTGTTGCTATTTCACCTTGCCTGCCTAAGGCATCTGATTGGTCTAATAAAAATCTGAACTGGTGGGGATGGTGGGCAGAGAGAGTAAGAGGAGAGAAGAGAGGAGAGAATGAGAGAAAGCTAGGGAGATGCCCAGGGCCAGCCAGGCAGCAAGACACAGTAGGACATACAAAATGAAAGAAAGGTAAAAAGCCCTGAGGCAAAACAACGATGGAGAGAAATAGATTGATTTCAGTCATAAAAGCTAGTGGGACAATTATAAGATAAGGCCAAGGGTGCACAACAAATATTAAGCCTCTGTGTCATGATTTCAGGGTTGGCAGTCCAAGACAGCCTGCTGCAACAAAATCTGGAAGACTCTAAATAGTTAACACTAGAGCTTTCTTATATTGTTTATGATACAATACATTCTCCTTATTGTTTCACATACCTGCATTTAAAAAGATGCTGATTACTTGAGTCATGAAGGTGTTCAAAGAAAACAGCACACCAACCAGTTCAGTACAGAAGTTGGTGGGTTTTTGTAAAAAAACAAAAACAAGAATAAGCTTTCTAGTCTTCAAGTTATACAACCAGGAACATTAAATGCAGGTCACAGTTCCTGGCTAATCTGAAATACAGTTTGCCATTGATGCTGTAATTCTGCACCTCCACTTATTTGGCAGGCCACAGCTTTGGTATCAACTTTCTCTATTTTGAAACCTCAATTCAGGGAGGTAGTAGGGCATGCCTTTAATCCCAGCACTCAGGAGGCAGAGGCAGGCAGATCTTTGTGAGTTTAAGGCCAGCCTGGTCTAGAGATAAAACCTTTTTTACTTGAAAAGGACCAATCTTTTATTTACTTTTTCTGAGTGTACTAAATATTCCTTTCAATCATCTGATTCCTCACAATAGAAGAAACACTGTGGTGGATTATGGTAAAGCATAGATTAGCTTTAATATTTACACCATGAGGTTTGACAGCTTTTTTTCAATTGTTTTCAATTACATGATTTCCTCTCTTCCCCTTCCTCCTCCTAGCCCTTCCAATGCTCCTTGCATTGCCTTTTCTCAAATTTATGGCCTCATTTTGTTATATATGTTCATATATAACAATAGTGATAGTGTTATATGTATAAATGCATAAACACAACCTGTTTAGTTCAATTAGAGTTACTTGAATGTATATGATTCCAGGGCTGACCATTTGGTACTGGATAATCAATTAGGAGGTCCATCCAGTGAGAGATTATTTCTTCCACCCTCAGCATTCCTTGGTTCCCTGCAGCTCTTTGTTTAGTTGTGAACCCTGTGAAACGTCATCCTTCCATGTTACTTGTTGTATTTGTTCAGGTCTTATTTCAGCTGTTGTGTTGGTGAGACCAGGGCTGCAGGTAGGGAGAATTTGCTGGAGTGTGTCATTTGCATCCCCTTCTCTAGCCCAAGCATTCCTTCCTAAGTGCATGAATGGAACTCCCCTGGTTCTTCTTTGGGATTTCACTCTCTTCTTGTCCTAAGCAGAGGCCACTCAGGAACTGGGTCTGCAGGACTGTCTGGTCCTTCTCTAGCCAAGATGAGAATCTGTGAGGTGGAAGCCAGCCTGGAACCCCATATATAGCCCCAAATCCCTCCTGTGGCAGTGGTCCCTGACTCCAGAGGGCAGTGGTACACTCCTGGCAGTGTGAGCTGAAATGTAAGTGCTGTCTGAAGAAGCCAGTGTAACAGACTATAGAAACAATGGGCACCAAAGAAAGGAGAAATCCCCCCAGATATCCCATGCTGGGTGAAAGAAAAGACTGCAGCCAGGCAGGAACTTGTTTCCTGGCAAGAGATTTCACAGTTGTAACAACTTATCAGACCACCTCCCAGCATGAGACTGAAGCTCACACTGATGGGCAGGACCACACCTTGATGGGCACTGCTTAGATGCTCATAACGTCAGCTCTCTGTTTAAACTTCACAGTCTTTCTGCAGAACCCTAAAGATGGACTTAAAGGCTTCACAGGGTCTCTTTTTCTCAAGATGGCCACATTGAATAAATTCCCCTCCCCCCTTTTTTCTGTTTCCATTATTAAACTGGCTCTTTTAATTGCCTTGATGAGGATGTGCGGCTTGGGGCACAGGCTGTAAATGCTGGGTGAGCATGGCGATCCACCCGCAATCGCAATATAAGGTAGGCAGAGACAGCAATTCCTGGAGCAGGTTGGCTAACTAGATAGTGTTGTTGGGTTTTCCTTTACTCTAGCCCTACACTGGGCATCAAGACTTTGATATTCTTTGCTCTTACTCTTTATTCTTTTGAGGGGCCCACCACCCAGCTCTCAAATAAATCACACACAGAGGCTTATTCTTTCTTGTAAATGCCTGACCTTAGCCTGTCTTTGTTTCTAGTCAGTTTTTTCTTAAATTGACCCATCTACCTTTTGCCTGAGGAGATTACATGGCATATACAGCAACAAAATTAGATTAGCTGAAATTACCTTTGCCTTACACAGAGACTTATACTGACAGGCAAAGAATGATGTAGAAAGATGATAAAAGTGGTCTATAAAGATGTAAAATGTAAACATTTTATTAAGCCAGAATTTGAGTAACTATAGCAGCTTTGGCTTGAGAGTATTTCTTGGGCACTCTGACCAAGAGTTAATAACACACTGCTTGGGACATGGCAGTATGCCTGGGATTGCTTGAAGCTTGTTTTGGTCTAATGTCCTTGTACCACAAAAGCTACCAGCCCGAGAACAGGCTGTCATATGTCCCCAGATTCTTAAAAATTGGGTTTTGGGGTTGATGAGTAAAGATGGTTATGAACGGTAACTTCATCAATGACGTTAAAACTTGAAGGAAAATGATTGGAAATGATAGCTCTGTTCTACCATAGTTTATTAATGATGACTAAAAGATGAACAAGAGAAAATGTTAAACATATGTCCCAAAACAAAAATGTGATCTATGTTTTGGAACAACATGAATGTATCCCTACTTAATAAATTTTGTATAAATAAATAAAGACGCACTCTGGTTGCAAATCAGGCAGGAAGCAAAGTCTTCCCAACCACCATGGCCTGGCTCATTTCCTTGCCTCATCTACTCCTTACATCCCAGGCTGGGATCTGTATCTCTACAGGGGGGTGTGCTTCTTTGTCTTTCTTTCCTAAAATGAAATTAAGTGTCCTATGTCCAATTCCTCCCGTTGCTGCTCTTGCATACACCCATCTTCAGATCCTGCCTGAATCCTGAGCTGGACTCTGGCACTGACCTTTTTGCTCAGTATTTGTCCTCAGTGTTTGTACTGTTGATAACAAATATGTACTATCTGTATACTAACTTTTATGGAGCTGATTTGTTTTAATTAAGCCAACACCTTGATCGTTTAAAAACCATTTCTGCATCTGTTATAGGAAAATGGGTAATTTCTAAATACAGCAAAATACAAAGAAAAGTATATGAAAACAAACCTTGTATCAGTTACAGAAGGGCACTGATCTTAAAACAGAGATATGTCATTTCACTAAAACACAGTTCTGTCCACTTCACCCATATCAGCAAAGCTGACAGCTCCACATCTTGATCGAGAGTATCCAAGACATAAACATTAGAAAAAATACTGGTAAGCATGGACAGTAACACTTTAGCATCCTTCTGGCTTTGACTGTTACCTGACCTTGGATCTGTAGGAAAGGTCACATGATATGGGATTAAACACCTCTTGTTCAAAACAGTTTCATTGCTGATTTCCTCTCCTCCCAATCCCAGAAACCTAGGCAATTGGACTCAAATAAGAATAAGGGAATAATAATTAATAAAATTAGGGCTATTGATATGGCTCAGTATGAAATGACACTTGCTGCCAAGCCTGAAGATTGGAGTTCAATCCCCAGTACCTTCTTGGTGGAAGCTCATTCAAGTTGGCCTCCGACTTGTACACAGAAAAACATAGCATGTATAAAATCAACCAAATAAACAAAATAAACACTTTAAAAAGAGTCAATGAGGTCAGGCAGATGAACAGATGTGTGGTGTAAGCCCTGCTTCTAAATGGTGTGTGCATACAAGTCCCTTCCATTGCTCTGCATCTCTAATTCTATATAGATTAAAAACAAAAGCAACAAAAATAGGCCGGGGTGGGGGGGTCGGAGATGCAAAAGAAAATGACTGTCTCTGAAACAGTTTAGGTGTTACATGACAAATCTCAACTGCCAATGAAACATGGAAAAGCAAGGACAATTGAGGCTCAGGGATATCAGTGACAAGAAGCACCAGCAGAGACCACACACTTACCAATAATCACTGTGTTGTCATCAGCAATTAGCAGCTTGCTGTGGACATAGATGAGCTCAGTGACTAGGTTCCCTTCCAGCTCTGCATGTGTTCTCAGACCACAAAAGGAAATGTAATTTATCCACTGATTACCAACTGTGGATCAAAAAGAAAATACATCAATTTTGTTTTCCAAGACATATATATCACTTAAGCAGGTTATTTATAATTGTAAAATTTAGTCAGGAATTTTTTTCTGATAAAGGGAATTTACATTGATAGCTTGAAGGAGCATCCTAGTCTCATTCTGTTTCTGTGACAAAACACTCTGACCAACAGCAACTTAGGGGAGGAGATCATTCATCTGATTTATCTTTTCAGGTCCCAGTCCATCACTGAGGAAAGGAAGTCAGGGCAGGAGCTCAAGGCAAGGACTTAAGCAGACCAAAGGAAGGACACTTGCTAGTTAACTCTCTGGCTTGCCATTTCTGGCTCAGGCTTAATCATTTCTCATCTGTTCTAGAACCACTACCCAAGGTGGACTGGGCACGCTACATCAATTAACAGTAAAAGTATCACTCATAGATACATCCACAGGTCAATATGAGGTAAGCAACTCCTCAATTAAGGTTCCCTTCTTAGATGACTCTAGACTGTGTCATCAAAGGTAGCTAAGACAGTGACTATATTTTTAAAAATCATATTGAAATGTCTTCTGCCTTTTGCTGAGACACTCTAAAAATGTACTCCAATCTGAGCCATTTAATGATTTGGTGAGTTAACTACTGAGGAGTAGAGGCAGAAAGGACAACACAAGATTTCAGTATCATGGCTGCTTCTGTCTGTTGACACCTGCAGCAGGCAGTTTAAGCCAGAGGACAAAGGCATGTCAAAAACCATAAAACACATTCAGCACTAAATAGCAGTCAGTCTGCTGACTACATAGAAATGTTGCCAGTTAAATAATCCTCCTCCAGGATGGGGAGGAGGGCTGTGAACTGCTACCTTCATGACATGGCCACTGTACTCAGGAACTCACAGCAACTGTGATTACCTGTACAGGAAGGGGCCCCATCCACATTCCATCCTAGGTGGGGAGGGGCTTCTGAGAGGCCCCATCCTCCTTGAAAAGCTATTGGCACTTAATGGTTGCTGGGGAAAGGGGAGCCATTTTCTTTAGAGGTGTAGCCACTGCTAAGTTGCCTGTGTTCTTGCAAGCAATGCTAATTAATCTCAGTGATGCCCTAAAAAAGTAAAGAAACACAAAAGCAGGAATGGAGAGGTTGGGGAGGAGATGAGAGAGAGCAACGAGAGATGAAAGTGAAAATACATTATATACATATATGCAATTGTCATTTAAAAATTCTCCCTTCTAGGACTTTGCAAACGTGTGCCCCATGGAGGGATAACTGCCTTATTCTAGAGATAGGAGAGAAGCCCTAGTCCCTACTTCACAGGACTTGTCAGATCTACATGACCCCAACTGGATGGCATTCCCCTACATATGGTATTGTGGTGGGGGGTTGGGAGGGGAGGGTGTTTAGAGTGCATGTGAGAGGGCAGAGAGGGCAAAAGGGAGGGAAGGAGGGAGGGAGGGCTAGAGGGAAGGGAGGGAGGGAGGGAGAGGGAACTGGGATCGACATGTAAAATAATAAATTAAAAAAAAAAAAAAAAACAAAACTCTTTGACTCCAAAATTTAAGTTGAAGAACAAGTTACTGGGGGAAAAGGATTTCTATTTTTGTTTCCACAGAAAATGAAAAGATGTGGATTCCTTCCAGACTAATGTGGTTTGATCACGCCAGACCGCCTGAAACAGAGTACAAGCTGATCCTACATTCCAAACAGCTGGACAAAACAGCCCTACAGACTACAGCTAGGATATCTGAATCTTCTTCGAATCCCCCAAGACAGCGCCCCTTACCAGCAGGAAGTAGTTTGGAAAGAACGACGCCCAAATTCCCAAATATTGTGTATAAATGTTTGTTTTCATTTTATTGGACTTTGTTATATAAAATTAAATAAAAAAATTCTCCCTTCTAGATCACTAATACTAAGAAAAGAAAATAAGCTTTATTATGTTCCATACTGGGAAATTTGGTTTAGAGTGAACAGTACCAGGTTTGTACTGTAAATGGCTATTTACTTATCTTACCACAAGACAAGACCTGCATTCCACACCTAACTATAATGACTACCATGGTCTGCGTGTTGGTCACAAGGTTTTATGGTCCCCCTCCTTCACTGTTTTCTCCTGCACCTACATCTAAGACTCAGAAAAAAATGTGTGTTGGGGGGGGCAAACTGTCATGAATTCTAACAAAGAAAATTGAGACCCTGTCTTTCTTGAGATTATGAAACATAGTAACAGACCCAGTGGTAACTTATGTTCCTTTTGCTAAGTGGCCTAACTTTTACAGATGTTGTAGAATATATTTTTCTGGCACCAGTGCTATGCTACATAGCTTGGCATCCTCGTCATTACTCAAGGCCACAGTGCCCAAGCTTTTGATTCCTTCTTATCATCTAGGGTGGCTTCATGATCCCGAGTATAACATTTTAAGCCACAAAGCCGTTTTTCAATGGACTTACAGAGAAAAGCCTTTGCCAAAGTAAATATTTTTAAAACAGTGATTCTCCTATTAGAAGTTTCCATGCACATTAAACAAGAGTTCTCAGTGTGCATAGTCCACGCCCATCTCTAGGACTTGCTCAAGGTGGATTACAGAGTTGCATGTGTGGTTCCATGGAGGATGGTTTGTGGAGGTGTTTAAGCCCCCAGAGAAGTTAAAAGGAGGGCAGGAAGGGGAGACAAGGAGAGGTAGTGGAGGAGAAGGAAGAGATGGGAAGGAGAAGGAAGAGCTAAAATGTCAGCATATAGAAGCACAGCATGAAAAGACAGTGAGAGCCCAAAAATTATCCCAGACTGGACATAAGGATCAGAGCAATGTTCTGGTGGGTAAAGGCTATTGCCTCACAAACCTGACTTTGAACCTTGGAACCCATGGGAAGGTAGAAGGAGAGAACTGATTCCTGAAAGTTGCCCTCTGTCCTCCACATTTGAGATGTCACTTGTTTTCCACCAGCAATAATTAATGAATACATTATTTTAAGAATCTGAAAGTATTTAACAATCATTTTTAAAAGACTATTAACTAGTTGCCAGCAGCTTGGATTTTAAGATGTGCAATAGCGTATGTATGGTATCTGAAGCTCATGTTTGCACTATTCTGCAGCAGGCCTTGTCAATCACTTGTCAATCAGCGATGCCCAGCCACAGTGCATACCACCTTCTACTCTGCCTCACTCAAACAGTGGGGCTCAGAAAGTAGAAGGTGACCAAGAAGAAAGCTTAAGGGCAGGAGCTGGGATGGAAGGAGGAGGAAGAGAGGAAGGAGAGAGGACAGAGAAAAAGAAAAAGTCTCGCTGTGACTTATCAGATACAACTGGCATGCAGCTACCCCGACCTCATGTGCTAGTTGAAGGAAGACAGACATAACATTACTAGTATTTTATTCTATGATGAAAACTGACTTCATAGAAAACAAATACAAAGTTGGTGATGTGAACGTGGTGTTACAATTCGGAACATGAGTGACTTTTGAGGGAAACAAAAATCCAACAACACAAATAAACACCTTTGTGAAAAAGGGAAAGTCCTGTGGCATCCCCAGGTGCTGTGGAGACAACATTCCAGAACTAACTATGATTGGCATTGATGTCTGGGTACCAAAAGGAAGGGTGGGCTCTCCATGAATGCTGGAAGCTTACAAGACACTTTTGATTTAAAACAACAAAACAAAACAAAAATACCAAGAATTAACACAGGCTTATTACTTAAAATTGGACTTTGGGATATCTGTGTATTTATAATCCTGCTTGAATACCCCTGGCCACTAATTTACTTGGCCCTAAAAGGTTATAATTTACAAAAACTCTAAAAGTGATAAGGAAATGTTTTAAACTGGACACCATGTCTCTGGAGAGATTATAGGCCCAGAGACTGGCTGGGGCTGGAATTCTTTGCAGGGACTTAACTTCCTCACAGCTGCAGTTTTGTTATTGAAAATAACTAGAGCACCAACCTCTGCATACCCATTCCTCCACCCAGTCAGGGAGCAGGCTGCTGGGGCTTAAAACCCACCAGCACTAACTGAAACAAAACCAACAATGTGACCCTCTGCTTCAGCAAAGGGCACTGTGTAGTTAATCTTTTCTCTCCATGTTCAGAGTATGAACACTCCCCCACAGAGAAGCCTTATTTTGATTTGCTCCCAGGGTGCTTAGAAATTTTCCCCCATCCAGGCTTACCATTGAAATTGTTTCTTGTGTTAAAATCCAATTTATTTCCCCTGAATGGCAAAGGCGAGAAAAGGGTCTGGAGCCAAAGAAAGAACTTTATCTTAAGCTCGGGACATTTCCACAGCTGAGAAAGGAAAGAATACGCTTGCATTCCTTTCTCTCCTATAACCTCACCTTCATCTTGCAAGCCCCATCAGGCAGCATGGGATGCCTTTCCTACTCTATTTATCAATGTGTCTTGTATACAGATTGATTCATCAACCCACAGCTATCAAGGTAACACTCTAGGACATCTGCTCTCTCTTGGGCACAATTAGGTGATATGCATAACTGTGCTTGAACAGACCAGACCACTAGAGAACACTTCCTAAATACACAGCACAGATAGACATTTGTGTGCATGTGTAATATACCTGTAGAACAGTGGTTCTTATCCTGTGGGACATGACCCTTTTGGGGATTGCATATCAGATATTTATATTACAATTCATAACAGTAGCAAAATTACAGCTATGAAGTAGCAACAAAATTAATTTGATGGTTCAGGGTCACCACATAAGGAAATGTATTAAAGGGTCACAGTATGAGGAAGGTTGAGGACAAATGCTGTGGGGAAGTTTAAGCCTATCTATCTATCTATCTGTCTGTCTGTCTGTCTGTCTGTCTGTCCATTCATCCATCCATCTATTTATTTATTTATTCATTTTAGGGAGACAGAGTCTCACTATGTAGCTCTGGCTGTCCTGGAACTTACTCTGTAGACCAGGCTGGCCTTGAACTCACAGAGTCCTGCCTCTGCCTCCCGAGTGCTGGGATTAAAGATGTGGATTACCACATCTAAACCCATTTAGTTTTTCAAAGCAATGAAGTCCCCTAAAAATCCATAAAGTCTATAAATATCTCCACAAAACTCTATAGCATGAACCCCACCCCCACTTTAACTGTATACTACAGGTCTGGGAATGTGGATCGGGGACAGTGTGTTTGCTTAACATGTGCAAGACTCTCTACTCAATACCAGAAGTGCAAATAAATAGTGTGCACCTCACTTTTAAGATACTTTATTCCCCCATGCCCATCTAAGTCTCCCCAGACTTTAGCAATCACTATAGAACTTTCTATTGCTATGGATTTGCCTATAAAAGACATTTCATAAAAGTGTAACTATACAGCATGTGACCTCTTGTACCTGGCTTCTTTCGGTTAGCCCAGTACTTACATGGTTTCACCCATACTTAGCACATAACATTTAATTTCTCATTATCATTTATCAGTACTTCCTCATCATTATGATGAACAGAAAGATACAGAGCAGGAGACCCAATGTACATTTCTGGACTTCTTGTGTGCACAAACATGCTCATAAAATTTATACATTGATCAGCTATTGGACATTGTACAGTTTTCTCACCTTGACTATTTTAACTATGAGTACACATGTGCAAATTTTTGTACAGATGCATTTTCTATACTAAGGAAAATTTCTGGCTTATACAGAACTCTGTCTAACCTCTGAGGAAGTACTGACCTGACCTGTTTTCAAATAACACTGTGCCAATTTGCTTTCCCAACTGCAATGCATGAGGGTTTGGGTTCCACTATTTATACATCATTGTCAATACCTGATCACTATTTTAGCTATCCTACAAGGTGTGAACTTGTATCTTATTGTAGTTTTCCCCAATGGCTAATGACATTGAGCATCTTTCATGTATTTATTAGTCATCTCTGTATCTTCTTTGAAATCAAATGTCCATTTAGATTTTTTTGTCTTAAAAATGAGCTATTTTTGATTATTACTGAGTTATATGAATTTTATACATATTCTAGATACTAATCTCTCATATATATACATATATACATATGATATATATATCATATATATATATATATATATATATATATATGATGAGCAAACATTTTTCTCTCACTTTTTTTCTTCTCTCCTCCACTTAAGAATGTACTAGAAAGAACTACATCAGTGAAAGGTGGTACCTTGCTTTGTTTCCTTCCTCATCATCAAACATTATGGAAAATGGTTATGGTATAGGCTGTAAGAAGTACTATGAGCTAGTGGACCAGTAGGATTAACACAGTATAAATGTCCATCTTAGCAGAAGCCATCTATGAATTCAATGCAGTCCCCATAAAAATTGAAAAAAAAATAGTCAATTTAATATAGAAAAACAATCTCCCACCCCCCCCAGAATATCTAAAATAATCTTATGCCATGAAAGAACTTCTGGAGGCATCACCATTCCTGATTTCAAGCTCTACTAAGGAACTATAATAATAAAAACAGCATAGTGCTACCATAAAAATAGACAGATGGATCAATTGGAATTGAGTCAAAGATCCAGACATTAATCCACATACTCATGAACACTCAATTTTTTGACAAAGAAGCTAAAATTATAAAATGGAAAAACAAAAGCATCTTCAACAAATGGTGCCGGCATAACTGGATATCAACATGTAGAAGAATGCAAATTGATCTATGTCTATCTCCATGCACACAACTCAAGTCCAAGTGGATAAATCATCTCAACATAAATCCAGATACACTGGGAGGAAAGGAGCTGAGAATATATGTAGACAGTCCTTGTGAAATTCCTCAGTTAGCATTGAAATTATAAAAATAAATAATAAGAGTACAGAGATGCATACACTATTTATTACCCATGTACTCCGTGCACAGGTATTTTCATGTGAACATTGATTCAGGCAATTCAATGAGAAGTGGTTTACCTCAGAAGAGCATTTGTGAAGACATTTGTGTGAAGAAAGAACTTCTGTAAGCACACTACATGAACATCCATGGATAGATACCATGGCAGTTCATTTGATTAGAATCGGAGGTGTGAGTGTGAGGAGTTTTCTAGATTAAGTTAGTTACAGTGGGAAGTTCTTTTCTAGTGTGAGCAGCACTGTTTCCAGACTGAATAAAAAGGACAAAAGGTACAGCAGCATTCATCCTGCTCTGCTTCCTGCCTGAATTCATCTGCTTCCTGATTGAATTCAATGTGCCCAGCCTCCAAAGCATCTGCTGCCCTGACTTTCTGCCATGACCTAGTATACCTTCCAGCTGTAAACCTGAATAACCCTCCTCCCTTTAGCCGCTTTGTCAAATAAGGGTCAGAATGACAAGGAGAATAATGGATAGATGTTGCCACCTCATCTTCATAGCTATTTCTATCAACTCCTGATGTTTTCTCGAAACAGTCACAGAAGAGAAGGAAAACACTTACGCGCTGGCTTTAATTGTCCAAGGATGGAGTTATCTCCTCTGCACATGGTTCTGAAAACATGGAAAGGCATAGTTACGGAGGTTCCAACAACCAAGGCTAACAGCAATATCTGTGGATGTTACCCTAGCCCAAGTGAAAATGGGACAAGTACTTCCATGAGAAAATGCTTTGCCCATTTTCAAAAGTTAAAACTGCAATAGGATTTTTCTGTAATCTTACTGAAAAAAGTTATTTTGATGAGAATCTTTGGAAAATCTATAAAACTGATGTCACATTTCAGAAAGAGAGATGGTCTATGAGTGAACTTTCCCTTAGAAAATTTTGTGACAGCAAAGATAAGATTTAGGAGTCTTCACAGATAAGAGCATTTATAAAATCATCTTGCTTTCTGGGGTGAAAAGGACAAACTCTCATCAGAGCATCAATAAGTAAGCAGACTATTATAAGGTCTAAATTTATTATAAAGTCTGAACTATCATAAAAATAGCCCTCACATTGGGCTGTTTCCATCAAGTCATCAAAAGCCTGTAAATGAAAGAGGGAGACATTTCCTTCTGTGATACAGTTTTGGAAAGATGTCCAAGCTTCCACACGGCACCTCTCATGTATACTCCTGTAAACAACACTAACAGAACTCACTGGTTCATAAAGACAGAGAAGGGAAAGAAAACATGAGAGATTAGTAGAGAAGAGGTAGGGGATGGCCTAAGTGAGAGGGGACAAAAGAGAATAAAGGAGTGGATATGATTAAAACTGTATGCATGTAAGAAAAAAATTATAATAAAAACATTATAATCAGTATATGCTAATAAGAAATTTAAAACTTAAAATAAAAATTATTTGAGCTTGATGACAATAAAAAGAAAAAAATAAAATTCTGTGTTCTATCTGCCTATTGTATGAATGTAATTAAAAATATAGCCATGCATGGAAAAGCTGATATTACTAAAATCTACACCAGCAAATAGAGATGTTTTTGCATGACAAAAGGTTTGGGTTGCTGAACAACAAACAGTCAAATATGCATTTCATTCAGCTGGTTTAAAAATCAAAGAAACAGTCATAGGAAATACTCACAACTGACATTATTCCAAAAGTAGTATTTGAATTGCCAAGAAAGCAGAGAACAATTAAACATCATGACATGTGCTCAGAAGAAAAAAATCTTGGTTATGTATTAAGTCAGATAACATTAGATATGGATCCATCTTTAGTACAAGTACATAGAAAAAATATTTGACACTGCTTCAGCACCAATATTTACTTCAAACCCTGGCAGATATACAGACACAAGTTACAAGAGTCAGTGGAAAAAAGAAACCACCTGCTGGGCATGGCGGTTCATGCCTTTAATCCCATGCAAGAAGACCTGTTCCACATGCTGGGCATGGTGGTGCATGCCTTTAATCCCATGCATGAAGACCTGTTCCGTGCATGCTTTAATCCCATGCATGAAGACCAGGGTTCATTCTTAGCACTGCAAACTAGGCATAGTGGCACACATTTATATCACAGTACTTGGAAGATAAAGGGAAAAAGATCAGACATTCAGAGCCATCCTCAGCTACAGGGAGTTCAAGTCCAGTCTGGGTCATATGGGGCTTAGTATCAAACACTGCCACAATCCCACCCAATGGTGCTCTCAAACCATGTTATCAGAAGCAGCTGGGTTCCTCTGAAGCTAAGCATGAGGCATGTAACCCTCCTCACCCGTGTGACCAAGGCCCTGAGCCCTTCTCTGCTTGGTCCTCTATAAAGTCGTCTTCTCCACTCCCACCCTAAAAAAGGATGACTGGAAAAGTGTGAAACTTATAAAGAAATATTATGGTTGTCATCTCTGCTCTGTCTAACTGATGCCACCCAAATTATGTCATGTTAGCACTTATTTTCTTGCTTTAGTTTTCCTTACTTACTGAAAAGAATGAAGGTATTAGTAGTATAAAGATAATTTTCATTAATATTGTGTATTAAAAATAAAATAAAATAGGCACTAGTTGGGTATTCAGGAGGCAGAGGTAGGGGACACACTGAAGTTCAAAGCCAGCCCTTGTCCACATAGCAAGTTCCAGGCAGCCATAGCTACATAGTGAGACCCAGAAGAGTAGAGGAGAGAGAATGTGGGGGAGAAGGAGAGAGAGATGGAAAGTGAGAGGAGAGAGGGAGAGGTACAGTCAGAGCAGAGAGAGCTTCATCATGTATTACTGTGACATTTGAATTTTATCACTTAGTGAAGACTAAGGTTTAGATCATGTGTAGTTGAAATGCACCTGTAGTTGAAGTGCATTATTGCCTGTAGAGCGTTCCCTCCGCCTGTGGAGATATCGCCTTCGAATCCCGGCAGCAGTGGTATCACGATGTACACCCGGTATCTCTGGCCTTCCCTGCAAAAGCACGTGCACAGAAATTCACAAATGGAAAAAAAAAAAAAAAAAAGGTACCAGTTACATCACCAGTCAAGCAGGTCACGAGGCTTTGTAGACAACATGAATGCTTCCACACAAACAACCACCTATGCTTAGCTTGGATGGCTCTTGGACCCCAGCTATCACTGTGGAGTGCTATGCTGAGTGATAAACTCAATTTGGCAGTAAAATGGAATTGTATCTACTTTCTCTTCTACACTTGGCAGGACAGAATGTGATTTGAAATAAGTCTTGCTGGATCTCTCAGAAGAGGGTATAGGAAATGGCTTACACAAAGTTTAGGGAAAGTTGCTATCACAATGATATAATTTTAAATCAGATTCTATTCTAAATATATGAATCCCTATGTGTATATATAGATAGACATATAATATAACAAGTTACAGCCACAGGGATTCAGCCCACAGCTTGGCAAGTTGTGGGCATTCCATTTGTAACCGGGTGCTTCCCAGAGCCCATGTCTTAGATGCAAACACACAGGAGTCAGTATATCTTCCAAACAGAATAGTCATTGTTTAGGAACTCTAAAGGTCCAGCCACAGTATGTTACCAGGGATTCTTCAAGAATTCTGAGTGACTAGTGACAATTTTTATTTTATTTTTTAAACATTTACATGTGTATTCATGCATGTGTGTGTTCATGCACACATGTGTGCACGAGCGCAGTCAGAGAACAACTTTTAAGAGTCAGTTCTCTTTCTACCTTGCGAGTCCTGGGGATCAAACTCAGTATCAGTCTTGGCAGCAAGGACATTCACTGGCTGGGTCACCTCAGTGATCCTTATTTTATTTAAAAATAATTATTGTGTGCATGCAGCATGAGCACACATAAGCTACAGTCAACATATGGAGGTTATAGATTAACCTTATGCAATTGGTTCTCTTATCCCTCTTTCCAAGGATTGAACTCAGATCTCCAGGTTTGGTGGCAAGCTCCTTTACCCACTGAGTCAGCCCCAACCAGTACTCATTTTTAAATCCCCAGCACATATAACACAGTATCTTCAGGCCAACTTTTAAAGGAAACTGAAGCTCCTTAACGATAGATATAACAACAGAAGAAAATGATGTATACTCAGAAACCCATAATATTATGCTAATAAGCATTTCTAGTCGTTTGACTCTGAGGCAGGATATTGTCATCTCCAAAGATCATGCCGGAGAATGGTACAATAGAGTCAGGGAAACCCTCTCATAATGCTTTGTCTAAGTTTAACATGTAGCGTCAGGCTGTGTGTGTAGCTGTCCTCAGCCACAGGTTGGATGGCCCAGGAGGCAGCACTTACTGTGAGAGTCCCAGACTGCTAAAGCCTCCGGAGTTGTTTGTAGAACACACATGAAGAGAAAACTTGGAAATGAGTGTGGATACCCACAGTGCACAAATAGCTCGCTTGAGGACATTTTCTTCGCTGCTGGCTAATTCTCGTAGGTCATCTTGCTTAAACCTTTTGTATTGTCAGAGCGAGCTATCTTCTTATGAACAGCGCAAGTGCCCCTTCTCATGAGATTTTTCACTACTCTGATGGCTCAGATCTGACTACTGGGCAGTGTGTGACAGAAGCGACTGTCAAGGGACAGCAGTGTGGAAACTCAGCCTGGCAGCTGGGCTGAGAAATGAGGCATTTGAAGTAAGCTGCTGCAATGTCAAGAATTACTCACTAGATGGCAACCATATCTTGGGTTGGAAAGAATACAAAGAAACTGAACAGCCTAAGCATGGGCTGGATTAGGAGAGAAGGCACAGTCTTTAAATGGTAAACAGGACGAGAGGAAAGATCAGGAAGCCCTAAGCCATTTTCCCACAGCACCATTTAAAAGCTCAGATGCATGCAAATGGAGACCTAAGGACCAGAGCCACACCATTTGGCCTCCACTGCTTTTCTAGTTAAAATCATATACCAGTGAGATCCCCCACAATCACCCCAGTGATGCCACTGTGCCCCACCCACCCCGGAGAAGCATGGCTCCTCAGCTCCTGGACCAGGATGGACTTTGCTTCTAGGTCACATTCATTAGTGAAGTTCTCTGACATGCAGTCAGAACCGGGTCACACTGTCCTCTTCTTTCCCACAGACAGTGGCCAGGAAGCTGACCCACAGGCTCTGTGCCTCACTCCATAATGACATGCTCGTGGCCTGGGCTGAGGGCTGACCTGCTCCAACAAACAGGGTGGACTGTCCACATGCATTTCTATTTTAGGCAGCATTCAGTAGAGAACCCACGTTCTCAGTGAGTACTGTTGGCTGGAGAGGACGGGGTCAGGTTGAAAGAATGTTTCAGTAGAGAATAGGTCAAGCTACTTTTTTATTTTAACTTTAATTACATTCTATTTGAATTTTCATTATGGAAAATATAATAAAATGAAAAAGTGGGCAATTTTGACCATCATAAGATATGTCTCTTCATCAGTAATTGTGTGCATAATTTTAAGTGACTACCTTCTCTATTCAAAGCTTTTTAGCATCGTAGATAGAAATGTCCCTTCCCAGAGTCCCTGGTGATCTCTAGGGACTTTCTGTCTGGATTTTGCATGTGAGTGTCCTTTGGGGGGAATCTAACTTATTTTTCTTAGAATAGTACCCTCAAGGTCCATCTTCACTATGGAGTGTGTCAGAGTTCCTTCTTTGTGGCTGGATTCTATGTTGTGTATACACTTTCATCTGCTGGTGGCTTTTGTCTTGTGGCTATTGGGAATAAAGCTGCTATCAATATTGCATTATTAGGCAGGGCATGCTGGCATACGCCTTTAATTATGGCACTCAGATGCAGGGCCATGCCTAGGAGTTCCAGGTTGGACTGGTCTACATAGTGAGTTCTAGGCAAGCTAGGACAACAGAGTAAGGCTCACTTAAAAAAAAAACAAACACCAAAACGGAAACAGTCTAGTAGTCAGGATTGGCATATCGTGTCAGTCCTTTTTGGGTATATACTCAAGAATGGAAATATTGAGTCATATGGTTATTCTATGCTTAGTACTCCCAGGAATCAAAAAAATAAATAAGACTTTCCACTGAGCAATGCAGTGCAAAATATAAGAGAATTATACAGAGAAAACAACAAAACGTCTCTCTTCTTTTGTACCCACCTCTGTTCCCTCCCTGAGGGTTCTCATACTCAATGACCTCCATGGCCCTGTAGACACAGTCCATGATCTAAACACATATATGTATTCCTCTCTTCCACACAAGGCTAGAATGTTGTGACTACTTTCCTGAATGCTATTTTTCTTTAATTCACTCAACAGAAAAAAAAAAAAACATATATATATATATATATATATATATATATATATATATATATATAATCACTCCTCAACCCTGTCACTCTTGAAGACCTGGTCTTAGTGATGCTGTCCTGTGGTCCTTGGGTTTTTTTTTTTTTTTATAATGAAAAGGTGACTTTAAAAGAGAGCCCATGGGAAGACTGAGAAGTGGCCTATGAGAATCCTATAAAGCATCCTTGCAGTCTGTACTCTGTGAGACTCTACATCCATATCATCTCACTTCTGGGCTCTCTCATTCCTGTGGAAGCCTTTGGCTGCTTTGACATGGTGGCTCTTAGCTCCCTGGATGATGAAAATATTAATATCAATAAACTAGCAGAAATGACATATTTCACTGTTGTTGATAAAGGGGAGAAAGGGCTCTGGAATTTCACCTATAAGGTTGAAGTTGCATGAAGATAAAACCCTGTGTGTCACAACGTCCAGTTTGTGGAGTTCTAGCTGTGAAGGTGCCAATCTCTCTGGAAACATGGCACCCTCAGAGCATCAGCAGCCATGGGGGGAAGAAGTCCCTAATATGCAAAATGACTTGTATTTAAAAGCAATGTGAGAGCTGATGAGCAACAAGCCGTGAGTAATGACCTGTCAAACAGACAGTTGCTTCTTCTGCTTGAGTTAAGATATAATTTTATAAAATGACATCTTCAAGGGTCTTGTTAAAATGAGTTTTTCTTTTAAAATTCATGAGCTCTTATGGCAATGTGACATAAGAGCTAAACAATGGAAATAAATGTTCAACAACAGAAAGACAACTAAGTAATGTTATAGCTGCTGGAACTGCTCAATAGCAAAATATTTCAGGTATCATGTTTAAAATGGCCCCAAGCAAAGCAATAAGAGAACACAAATATTGCGGCTAATCTGGAGCTGCCCAGGCAACTCTCTTGCATGTGCTCACTTCGTGCTTTGTGCCTGGAACTGTGAAGCAGGCATTGTTCTTAGAATGTGTACTTTCAGAATGGGGCGGGGGAGCTAGACAAAGACCCAGAGATCTGAGGCAGGAGGAATAAGAAAGAAGTGCAGGGGTTGGAGAGGTAGTTCTGGGGTGAGGAGTATGCATTACTTCTCTTGAGGAATCTGGGTTCCAGTACCCAAGTCAGATAGGAGCTCAGAGCAACTTGCAACTCCAGTTCCAGAGGCTCCTACACCCTCTTCTGGACTCTGCAGGAACTGCACTCATGTACAACTCCCTATACAGAGACACACATGCATACATAGAAGGTCTTGCAAAAAATGGAAGATCTTGCTGAGGCAGTGGTACTCGCTCCTTTAATCCCAGCACTCAGGAGGCAAAGGCAGGTGGATCTCTGTGAGTTCAAGGCAAGCCTGGTCTACAGAATGAATTCCAGGACAGCCAGGGCTACACAGAGAAGCCCTGTCTTGAAAAACAAAAAAACAAAACAAAACAAAAAACAAAAACAAAAACAAATTTCAATAAATAGTAGGTCTTTTTTTAATTAAGAATAAAAGAAGTAAGAGAGAGCTATCAAAAACTTTTCTTCCATCCTGAGCAGAATTCCAGAGGAAACACAGCAGGCTCCAGCCCACTTCCTTCGTACTTATTTTATATGATACTTTTTTAATTTGTGTGTTTGTAAGTTTTCATGTGTGTGAATATGTATTCATGTGTCTACATATGTGTATGGAAGCCAGAGGTCAAACTCAGGTGTCATTA